ACCAGCAGGTGCGATACCTGCTACAGCAGGTGGGCGATACCGGCCAGGGGTCAGCCAGTAGCATCAGGACCGAGCTTCTTCGGTGGGCCAGTCACTGTGCCTCCCCTCCGGACCCCTCTCCCTATGAACATCAGCAGTCTCTGCTCAATGCCACTTGGGGGGGCCAACGGCATATCTCTAGGTGGCGTGCGCCAAGCTTGCCCAGGAAGGTGCATGAGGCCAGTGGGGATTGAGCCCAAGACCTCCTGAATGCCACTTGCGTGCCTTGCCAACTGAGCTAGGCCGCTGGATTTTTCTGCAAATTCAGTTCGAACCTCACTTTTTCTGAAACACGCAGTCTTCTTTGCAAGCCCGAAACTGAAACGGCACTTTTGTAAAGTCGTTCCCTTTTCTTGTTTTAAAATTTAAAAGAGAGATTGACTGACTGGCTCATGCCGTACTCACACTAGGATTTTCCCAGACCTATCTGAGTGCAATTAACTCAGATAGGTCTGGGAAAATCCTAGTGTGAGTACGGCATGAGCCAGTCAGTCAATCTCTCTTTTTTACCTTTAAATTTTAAAACAAGAAAAGGGAACGACTTTACAAAAGTGCGGCAAGTATGATGTATGATACAGCTGACAGACAAAAACGAATGCGTGGATGAATGTTGGGTGAATGAAGGAATGGACGCAGGGATGGATGCCCCAATGAATGAATGAACGTGTTCTTCGAATGTGCAGGAGGCGCAGCTTGGTGAGGTCTTAGCAGCCTCAAACCTGGATCCTGCTGCCTTGGAGAAGGTGTCAAATAAGTTGGATGAAGTTTTGGAGAACAAGAATGAACTAATCAAGGCGCTCCAGTTTGACCTGGCGAAGGTCTCAAAGGTATGATGATTTTTTTTTTTTTTTTTTTTTTTCAAAGGTATGATGATACAACGRTGAATCATAACAAGAAAAGCAGAGGACATCAGCAACCCCGGATCCTTTTGGACTAGCCAGCGCAATCCTAGCTCATCACATGCCTCTTCTTTTTTCTCTGTCTATGGGGCTCGCCGCACCACTCTGGAAATGAGAAAAAGACAAAAACGTGGCGGGTGCACCTGGCCATGTTCTAGCAGGAAGTTCGTTCTCATTTTGCACATTTAGAGAGTGGTCTGGCGATGCCCTATCTATATGGAGAAGGCGTGTACTGCGTACCAGGCCAATGCGAGCTCTGACGACGGTGCAGCCGTGCCACTGGCGGGAGAGGGAATCTTTAGGGACGGGCACACAGCTTTTCGCAGGGAGTTGTTTTTTTTTTTTTTTTTTTGGTTGTGGCATAACGCAGCAGGGAAGGGAAGGCGGTGCGTCATTCCACACTTTTTTTTTTACTTCTTGTTTTGTGTTTCGTGGCACAGCAAAAGAGGGACAGCTGCACAGAGGCCAGGTTGTTTCACAGTCCTCATGATGTCTCTATCTATATAAAGAATCAGCCGGGTCTTGCGTAACAGGCCGATGCGAGACCTGGCGACCGATGGGAACGTGGCACCGGCGGGGGGGGAAGGAGTCTTTAGGGAGGGGCGGCATCTCGTGTGGAATTTTTGCTTTTTTGGTTGTGGGACGGCACAACGGGGAAGGGAGGGCCGCACACTGTTTCTTTCTTTCTTTCTTTCTTTCTTTTTTCTTTTTTTTTTTTTTAACGTCCCATATAGAAAATTACATAGGATTTTGAAAAAAATTGAGAGTTTGTAGTACCGGGGCCACTAGCCGGCTTTGGCTAAGAGCTAGATTAAGAGATACAAACAAGCTACCGAAAAAAGGCAAAAATTCAGGAAAAGACACAGACCCCCCTCCATCCTCTTTACCTCACTCCGGCAAGTCTTACTGCAGCAGAGCCACCATCTCTGCTGCTGCTGTACCCTATTACCATCCTACCAGCTGGCCCCCTCACTAGTAGGACGCTTGATATCCAACCTTCTTCTCCCACTCACCTAGGCAAAGTTTCAGAAATCGTCTCAGAAACCCCCATCCATCCTCTTTACCTCACTCCGGCAAGACTTACTGCAGCAGAGCCACCATCTCTGCTGCTGCTATACCCTATTTCCATCCTGCCAGCTAGCCCCCTCACTGGTAGGACGCTTGATATCCCGCCATCTACTTCCAACACCAACCAGCGTCGTTCTGACCGCAGATCTATGAATATAACAGCATCTCAAGACCACCAGAAGCAACTGAAAAACAATTTTGAAGGTTTGGGATACCGGGGCCATTACCCGGCTTTGGCGAAGAAAATTGGAGCCAGATTAAGAAATTACAATGGCAAAATTCAGAAAATAGGCAAGAATTCAGGGAACGCCTCAGAAAACCCCATCCATCCTCTTTACCTCACTCCGGCAAGACTTACTGCAGCAGAGCCACCATCTCCGCTGCTGCTGTACCCTATTTCCATCCTACCAGCTAGCCCCCTCACTAGNGCCCCCTCACTAGTAGGACGCTTTACCTCACTCCGGCAAGACTTACTGCAGCAGAGCCACCATCTCCGCTGCTGCTGTACCCTATTTCCATCCTATAGGACGCTTGATATCCCACCATCTACTGCCAACACCAGCCAGCGACGTTCTGGCATCAAACCACCACAAATCTATGAATATAACCGCATTGGAGAAGCCCACAGTGAGTAGCAAGAACCCCCCAGAATCCTGAAGCAACCTCAAGACCACCAGAAACGACTTAAACAAAACAAACTTACTCCTGAGAAAAGAGACCCAAATGAGATTATCTGGAAGCCGATATAACCGAAAACATGCTGCCACAATGCTATCAACAGACTATCCTACGGCTGCCTCAACCGTCATATCCAAGACTATGAATCCCCCGCGGTAGCGGTCGCCGCGGGCACGATCGCGGACCGCGGTCTCAGCCGCGAGGCCGCAGTCATGACCGTGGTTCGCGATCATGAAAAAAAAAAAAAAAATCAGAAAAATCTGAAAAACATATATGTTATGCCAAAAAATAGACTGAACAACTTTTGCCTTGGGGTCATATCAAAATTCATTACCAAATTTGAGATAAAAAACAAACAAAATCCTTTATTTTTCTTACTAAAAGAATAAAGTGAAGAACTTTTGCCTGAGGGATTTCTGTTTTTCATTTTTTTTAATAAAAAAAGAAGTCAAAAAATAAAACTAAAAATATACAGTTGTAGAGCACTCAAAAACCTACAACCCCATATAAGTATATATATTTTTGGCCTATTATCCTAGGAGTTAAAAATGTTGCGGTTTTCCGACCGCACTCGGCCGCGGGCGGTCGGCCGCCGCGGGCGGGATCCCGACCGCGGGCAGTAAAATGGCCCGGGGTCGCGACTGCGGGTGATACATAGGAAGATACCAGGCCCTTCCAGGCCTCACACCCCCAACCGCTGGGTTACAGGGCGGCGCGACCCACCCCAGCTCCGACCCGCGTCGTCCCAATACTAGCTCGCGGTTAGCCACTGGACTGCCTTCCATCCTCGGCAGTTCCCCAATCTCTCTACCAGACCTCTAACCCCCGCATACTCAATTTACAGGGCAGCGCAACCAAACCCCAGCTCCGGCCAGCGTCGTTCTGGCATCGGCCAACCCTAACCTTATAGACATGATGGCGATAACCCACCGTTGGATAATCTGCTGAAAACACCGCGGCAACTAAGGCTTGGAAACGCCCGGCTTCCTCCATCCACCGGTCGTGCTCAACACCCCCAAACCACCTGAACACTCCCCCTGACCCCCCTCCGGCAAGACTTATCACAGCGGAGCCACCATCTCCGTTGCTGCTATGCCCTATTCCAGTCCTACCAACTGACCCCCTCGTCAGCAGGACGCTGTGACGCCCGAACCTCACGCCCAGCGCGACTTCCTGATCGGAGTGGGAGGGGGGCCCGGAAGTGCGAAAGAGGGGTGTGCCAAGGATTTTAGGACATTGTAGTGGAGTCCCAGGTCGGAACTGAGATCTCCTGTGGCCAGTTCAAGGGTAATTGATCAAGATGGTAATCCCGAGTTGCGTTGGTAGCTTGGGCTTCGGGACACAAGGTTACCGTCGGTGTGAGTATCGGCGTCGTGGTCGGTCTCGGATCTGATGGACCTTCAAGACGCTATGAGGGTCGCGTTGGCTGGTTAGCCATCGGCGTCACTCGTAGCAGACTTCGGAATCTGACGAGGCTGGTCTCAGTCGGAGACTGTGCGATCGCTGGTCCGCGTCAGTTCGGGTCCGGCAGACGAATCCCGTTGTGCGGTAAATACGATCTTGCTGGCACTCCGAGCACGGGGTCCGCGCCCAGTAGGGGCCGATCGCGCACCAGGGGACCGCTGTTAGACAGTGAAAGGGGATTACGAGGCAGTGGGGAGGATAATTGGTCTCGATGATGGCGATTCTTGGCTCGGCAATGACGTGTCGTGCGTGCGAGTGGGGAAATTGGGGTGGGAAGGGAATCGCGCTTAAGGCCCGTTCAATATCCCATTCGCATACGCGCTCCGTTCCTGCGTAGAAAGGGAACTCAGGGAGGAGGGACCGGGGTCGTGCGGCTTGATAGGCACGCTCCCATTCCCAACGTTCCCGGAATCGTTGATGCCTCATTCTCTCGCGATCCGTGACGTAGAAGGGAATCTCAACATTCATACCGGTAAAAAAGGGGTTGACTTCATCATAGGCTCTTGGGGGCGAGTCCCGTGGACGTGCGTGGAAGATGCGTCTTTGCGATTGTACTTACACGCTGGTGCACGAGATCACGCTTCCTGTTGATGGGTCGTTTCAGGTGCCCCCGTGGTTCCCCAAAGGTTCGTCATGCAACTACCATATCAAAAAGAAAAACAACTTCCGGACATAACATAGGGCAATCCCTCGGCAAGCCAGCCATTCATGCATCGATAAAGCTGCGAAGGGTTCATCATCTAGCCGATCCATTCAGAGCAACCAAAAAGACTGATTAGTTTCCCAACCTCACAAATTCCTTCCCCCCCCCCTTTTCAGAGTACTGCGCAGCTCTTCGGTGATCAGGTTTCTTGAGAGATCGTGTAACATTCATTCATCGCATCCTCACTCATTCATGCAAAGACGACGCGCATCCCCATTGGTCAGACAAGCTCTCAAAGGTTGACACACGCATCCAACAAACCGAAGCATTCAACTCACACCCGTCAACAAGGAAGGAGAAGGGAGAATAAAGTCGCACACCAGGCGACACCATCGTACAAAATCGAAGACAACAAAGATGGCTTTCGCCTGAGACCAAAATTTTATACAAGGAGGGAGAAGCGAGGTGCTGCGTGGAGGAGGGAGAACGTGAGGAAGGAGAGAGGTACAGATAGAGGACGAAAGAGGGGAGAGGAGGAGGGAGGGAGGAGGAGGGAGAGATGTATGAGGAAGAAGGGAGAGAGGAGGAGGGAGAAAGGGAGGAAGGAGGAGGGAGAAAGGAAGGAGGAAAGAGGGGGCAGCGAGTTGAGCCAGTCGACGCGTGGAGGATGGGAGGGGTGGAGGTGCCGCGCGGAGTGAAAGGCCCTGTCGCTGACGTAACAAGGGCAAAAAAAAAAAAAAAAGGTAATTAGATGGTGAAGTGTTCGAAGGACAGAGACAGGAGGAGAAGGGAAGAGCGGGGAGAGAGAGAGAGAGAGAGAGAGAGAGAGAGAGAGAGAGAGAGAGAGAGCTGGTGGCAACCCACCTCAAGCGGCTCGGTGATTCCTCCTCGCTCCCGCTGCCTGCTCCAGCTGCCTCCTGCTGTGTGCTGCTGCCTGCTGCTGCCTCCTGCTGCCTCCTGCTGCCTCCTGTTTCTTGCTCGGGCTGGTGCTGCTGGTGACGGGCGGGCACGACCAACGACGAATGACGGCACAACGGCCGCCAAGGAGACAAGGCACAACTGGTGGGTCGGTGGAGTGCCGGGGTGCGCAACGGGCGGCGTGGGGGAGGCCTGAGTAGTTCGAAAACGAACTACTCAGATCTCCCCCAAAATATTTTACCGGGCCTCCGCGCGGCCCGAAAAAAAAATTTCGCGCCCACGGAGGCAATTTCCCCCGGTACCCCTCCAGGCCTCCCACCCCCCCCCGAACTTTTTTTTTTTTTTCCACGACCCCTGTTTTGGCCGATGCGCCGCATGCCGTGCGCGCGCCGGCTGCGCTCTGCGCTCTGCACTGCACGTGCCGCGACGCCGCGCACGGCATGCGCCGCAAGTATGGTATTTTCACGAGCGACAAGGCAAGAGTAGTGCAGCGACGACAACTCTTGACGTTTGCAAGAGTTACGTCTGACAGCTCTTGATGCGTTTTCCGACGGCCCAATTCACGAGTAAGTGCAGCGATGCGCAGCTCATGAAAAAGCACATTTCAGCGAGGCCCATGGTGTCTGCTAGTACACTCGCGAATTGTAGAGTCGGGCCGTGGAGAGTAAGTGCTGCGATGAAGCAAAAACCATGAATACGGAGAGCTAACCTGACAGCTCTCCGTGCACTCTCTGATTTCTCGAAGGGTGGAGAGTAGTGCAATTAGACCCTTATTCGAACATTGTGA